GGGGGGGGGGGGGGCTGACCTTGTTTAGATGCACCAATCCAGGATTCAAATTTCCTGGCATTTTGAAGGAAAAATGAGACTTATTGGTTACAATAGTTTCTATTCATGTAACTGTCTTCTAATCAAGTGACTCCTTGACCCAACAAAGCCTGTTTCCCAATTAAATAAATAGCTCCCCACATAACCTGTATCAAAAAGGCCATTTTAATACAGCATATTAACATGCTGTAATAATCATGTGGCTTTTTTGATCAACTTAATTCACCCGCTGTTTTGATTCCTAATTCCTAGTAGCTGCCCCATAAATTGACACTGCTGTTTTGTGGGGAATGGAGGAGGTGCTTTGGTTGACTGGAATTTTTTTGTAATTTAAAGGTTGGTATGTATTCCATCAGGAATCAAGTTCAGCTCCTGCTAATTTCAATAGATTTGGCTCATGGTTTCTGAGCACTAGAACTGTAATTGCCCACAGGTCTTCTATGAGGATAGCAGAGAAAGATAGAAAGATCCTTTATGTCCACTGTCCTACTCAGGGACAAGGAAGAATCTATCCCTTGGTATTTACCTGCTTCAGTATCTGTAGACAGTTTTAATAATTGCTTAGTCTAGCTATAAACACTTTTAAAATTCCTCTCTAAATCAATCTCTCTATTAAGGAGTGTCATAATTCTGTTTGGCAAAACACCATGAAATTTAAGTACTCTTCAGTAGTTACTCTAGTCCCTTTGATCTACAGTTTCTCTAGGGTGCCCTTGGGAACTAACAGATTTTCTTGTGAGATTTCTGTTTTGGTGCTCCTTGTTTCAGTTAACATGAAGACACCACTAACAGATGAAAAATGTACTCAAAAATGCATTTTCATTAAGAAATTAACAAAAATATTTGTATCTTAATAAGTTTTCACGTTTCGTTTAAATCAAGTTCCAAGCAAAATCTTTTATTTTTGTGTTTCTTTTTTTTGTTTCTTTAAAATAATGGAAAATACCCGGGTGTGGGGGGAGGGAGAGGGGGAGGAAAGAATACAGCCTCTACTTCAGCTTTCAGTTTCCTGGCTTTTGTTGATTTGTGTGAATTCATGACCGTAACAATTTTTATGGACAGAGGTTTATCTTTATCATAACAATCTGCCTGTGGATCCTGGTTTTAAGTAAGCCAGCTGTTTTCCAGTGGTGTGTAAGCCCAGTGGGAATAATTTAACTTCTGAGCTACAGTTTTTTACCATGCTTTGATATATCCCACTCTCAGCAGTGCCTGAATCTGTTTAGGAATAAAGCTTTAAAATACCAAAATAAAACTGTAGAAAAATACTTGCTTTTACATAATAATAAATGAATGGATCTGCTGTAGTATCATGCAAGAGGCAAGGAATGTGGTGGGTGATGTCTTTTATTGAACCAACTGCATAGCAGGGATAGACTTAGACAAGTTTTTGAATGCAACATATTTCACCTCAGGTCTGAGGAAAAGGTTGGCACAGCAAAAGATTAAAAACAGTAGAAGATATAAAGATTGAACCTGATTTAAGCATTTAAATGTACTGAGTGTAACTAATATCTACAATATTGGTACCTGGGGCTAATTTACTGAGGGCCTTGTTACATCCAACACTGTGAGCTGCACAGATGTTGATGGGTGTCAGCGGTAGCTCATTTGGAGCAGTTGCACTTCAGGACAGAAGAGGCCTGGACGACTGAAAGGCCCCTTGAACCTTGGGCTTTCCCTGCTCTGCTGTCTTGTGGCTTCCTACACTGTCTGTCCCAGGGAAGAAGGAAAGGAAGGGCTGGCCTGCCTTCCCAGCTGCTGTTGCTGCTCTTCTTTGGGCTGAGCCCAGCTAGAGAACAGCAGTAGCGGTGGCAGCCGGGCAAGCAGGTTAAACCCTTCCCTGACTGCTCCCCCAGGACAAACAGAATGGGCATCCACAAGTAAGCAGGGCAGGGGGCAGTGAGTGGGCTCTTGGGAAGGGTGGGGGGAGGGCAGTGGGCCCAATCTGGGCCAGCAAGGCAGGGGGATGGGTGAGGTGTTTAAACTAAGGTATAATGTAGAGTGTTAAGACAATCCAGATATCAAGAGCTCCAGGAGCCACCCAAAATTACCATGTCACAAGGCTCCATCTAATACCATCTAATGAACTAATAGTAAAGAGATGATCTGTCTTTATTAGCCCTTGTATGAGTGTGCAACAGGCAGGATTTCAGGAGCCATCCACCCTAGACAAGGTAGAGGCACTTGGGGAACTGCATAGACAATGTGCTCCAGGCATCACAAGGGTATGAAGTAAACAAAATTTACATGGAAGAAGCCAGGCTATAATTCACTCTTCAAGCCATGCCCCCAGACTCCACCCAGCA